GACCTAATTAAAAAGATGAAAAAAATTAAGATGATTAAGAGCGGAATAGTAACATGCTTAATTATAGAACAGATGAAATGGTTTAGTCATTTCACACAAAAAACTACCACAGAGAGCCACAATGAAGAAATACAATAAGCACAAAACAATAGGAAGACCACAACAGAGATAGAATAACGTCACTTAGAACAACCATATAGAAAAGAACAACTTAGGGGGCAAATTAGACAGAGTAAACAGAAGATACCTCACATCTATAGCCTAAACATTTTAGATAGGAAAGAAGAAAAAAAAAAAGATGCCTTTCACAATATATGTGGACTTCACATCCTGTATGAATTACAGACACACACAAAACGATTCTGTTTTCAGAATTTAATATGTTTAACAATTTATTTTCTTCAATAAAGTAACTAAGAATTATATTTACTATGCACTAAGCCCAAATACACCAACCATGTTGGATTAAAAATTGTTTCCAGTTCTTAGCCCAGACAAAGCAATTAGTCTTTGCCTAATATTACTACCCAGTTGACCTGAGGTGACAAGAGGTGTCAGAAATATTACATAATCAGCCCTTTCAAACCTGCAAAATCAGGAGAATTAAGTCTGGCCAGCAAGAAAGTCCAGACACTGTGTCTCCACACTTGGCTGGTTTTTCACAACTTTCAGTGACACTGGGTAGAACTAGATTTGGCCCTCTTAAAAATGTTTGACAAGTAGGGAAAGTCAGTAAGAGATTGACACTACAAAGAAAGATAAATGTAGTTTGGAAGTACAGCAGGGGTAGGGCTTAAAGCTTTCCTGAAGGAAGAAGTCTGATAAGATAAAGAGGAGGAGCTAACTCTGCTAATGGAGAGTGAGGGAAAGATTAATACTGCTAGGTGTCTGGAATTCACTGCAGAGTGTGGCCAGCATGCCAACAACTAAGATCTCGAGCAGAAAGTAATTCTAGCTGTGTGAGTCTTGTTTGGCGAATTGCTCAAATTTTCCCAGTTCCCGTCAGGGGCATGGACCAATCAGAACTTATCAAAGCTGAGGGCCCAGTGTTGTGTGGGAGAACAGCAGGCTGGGAAAAGCTAAGCAGGGCCTCAAATCGAAAGCTCTCAACGGTTCTTTTTTTACTTGAATCTAAAGTTATGTATTTTGTTCGTAAACTTCTCATCATCACAAGAACATCTAATCTCAGGTGCTCAGTTCTCTAGCTAAAGCATCTCATTACCACTATACCATCAGCCAGTAACTGGTTGTTCAATTTGTTTAAAATGACAAATATCATCTAAATGATTGTTAGTACAATAAATCAATATATACATTTTTCCAAGTGAATTTGATTTTACATGTTTAACTAAACTATTAGATAGAATTACATTTGGTGTGGGCTCTTTAATAATTCTTTACCAGGAGGAGGTCGTCAGAAGGGGTCACCTGCCCTGTCTAACAATTCTTTAATTAATCTAGACATCTAAAACCTTCTTCCTTCTCCTGTGGGTACCAAGTGCAGCTGTTGTGAATTTACACGATAAGCCAAATATGGCTGTTTTCATGGATATCCAGGACTTTGTCTGAGATCGACATAGCTATGGGGGTGAAGTGTTGAGATTAAACTACTACTCATCACAAAAGCATCTATCCATTCGGGGACGACACAAAGAGAGACAAATTTTATATATATATCACAGCCTTCTCTATTTATAGGCCTAACAGGTCAACGGGCATTACCGTTCTTGTGCAAGAATTGAGACCCTCTGCATCCAGTTTTTATCGAGGAGATGTATACACAAATTAAACTACAGTTTCATTAATTTTCAACATATTTTATAGAACTATACGTCATTTTTAAGGTAAATAAGTGTGCCAATTAAATATATAACAATAAAAGCTCTTACAGACAAACAAAAATGCTTTTGCTACAGTCAACATGAACATAAACATCAATAACGTTTAGATATGAACTAAAAGTTGTTCCAGCAAAAGTAAAGAAATATCAGTGCTAACTCTTTGATTCTGAGAGGGTATTGTTGCATCAGAGGAGCGGGTGGGGGGGGGGGGGGGGTGGTGGTGGTGGTGACATTATTACTTAATCAAATTTAGCGCATAAAAATACTGCTATGAAACATACACATGTCATACACAACATAAATATAAATGATGGATGGTTATTATTATTATTAGTAGACTACTACAACATATAAGTATACTGTTATTTAATAATTAGTAAACAAGCACAATCAGTATGAAATTGATATGTGCAATACTTTTTTCACCCAGAGTAGTTTTCTTAACAGTACTTATAGCACTACTAAATATGTATCTTCAAGGTACAAACAGCACAAACAAATTTGTCCAGTTTCATCTTGTTGGATGAAATCAATTCCTTATCATTGCGAATTTTTTGGTAACAAATATGCATAAGAAATGGATGAACAACCAGAAGTTTCCGCAAGAGTTTACAGCCAGTGTTCGCGAAGCAAATTATAAAAGCCAGTTTACAAAAATTAACACAGACCGTACAACTGCAAATATGCATAAGAAGTGGATGAACAACCAGAAGTTTCCGCAAGAGTTTACAGCCAGTGTTCGCGAAGCATAAGTCAAATAGTTAAGGATTAATATTATTAGTGTACTGCTACAACATATAATGATACTGTTAGTCAACAATTAGTAAAGAGGCAAAGAGTGACTTGCTGTGAGAGGTTAGTTAGTCAATTAAATATTATTTTCATCCACTTCCCTAGAGCTCCGAAATATCTTGACACAATTTATCCACAGTGTGGTTGCGCCATTTATGCATAGTCAATATGAAAGCAATAGTTTTCTTCCACCACAAGATAGTTTGCACCTGACAACCGTCGATATTCTCCAGATATGGCTTCTAAATTACCTGTTTGTATTTTCCCTAAAAGTAAGATTTCTACATTTAAAGTAGAAAAGTAATAAACAGCCAGTTCCCCAAACTCCGAACTACTGACTAGAAACAGTGACACACACATCACACGACTGTCTCCCGTGAATTAAAATTGCTGTAATCTAACAACAAAGTATGAAAATCTTGTATATCCACTTTACAATATCCGCTTGTTGATTTGTAATGCGAATACAATCAGAACACAGAAGTTTGTAAGCATATTATATTGTCACACAATGCAACATGGAAACGCTTCAAGTAACCTATTTTCGAGGGGACTCAGCCAAAATGTATCATGATTCGGTTGTTAGACATTATTACAGAAGGCAGTGATATATATATATATATATATATATATATATATATATATATATATATATATATATATATATATATATATATATATATATATATATATATATATATATATATATATATATATATATATATATATATATATTCACAAATCTCAGCCATTGGTGTTCTGGATCAATTCCATCGATGATATGCCTGCATGCCACTGTCTTAAGCCATCCACCATCATTTCTACTAGTGATTTTTCTAGTCGTTAAGATATTTTCCAGTACTCCTTTTCTCATCACATGACCAGTATAAATATATATATTTCTGGAGCTCCCCTGTGAAGGGGTGAAAAAGAAGAATAGACCCCATGCTCCTCTAACAAGCATGTTATAAAAAGTGACTAATTAGGGGTCTGCTGAAAGCAGATATGCTGGGTTGAAATGTGCAGATATCGCTGCGAGGTACTATTCAGCCTTTTCACCCCATCTCGTCGGGTGCGAGATTTCATAGGGAATTCCCTGAGACAGTCCTAAAGTCTAGGGGTCTTATGACGTGCCTTCTTTCCATGTGTATATACAAAATGCCTAAAAAGGACTTGGCTTTGTTCCACCGGGTCGACACACTGTCTCCCACATATAAGTGGGCAGCTTTATTTTCTCCCAGATGAAAGGGAGCAACTGTCTTTGTGTGAATGACTATTCAAGTGTTAGGGTTAGATGCAGGTATCATGATTAGGTCAAGGAAATTCATGGCGAAGGCCAAGTCACAAAGCAAGAACAGCACTTCCACACAGGGCAGAGTTATGGCAATGAACTAAACACACACTGGAAATGACGCAAAAAACAATAACAACACTGAAAAAAACCAACATATGACACATCTAGAATATAGGAGTTTTAGTATTTTAGTGCATCTAGAATAAAGTTTTAGTATTTTAGCGCATCTAAAATATAGGAGTTTTAGTATTTTAGCGTTAGTGTTAAATGAACAGCAACTAAGACTCACCCTACCCCTAACCCCCACAGACTATAGGACTGTCCTGGGGAATTCCCTATAAAATCTTGCACCCAACAAGATAGGGTTAAAAAAAAAACTAAATAGTACCTGCAGCTTTTTTCTAAACTACATCTGCGTACTAACTGCCTTTCTAAGGGCAAATACAGAAGAAAAAGAAATATTTATCTTATGCCATCATCTATGTCACACCATTTACATAAAAGTTTATTGCACTACAGTTTCATGTCACCAGGTGTTATTTGGTCTTTCTTTATTTCTTTGATTTTGTGGGTTCCAGTGTAAAGGCATTCGGGTTATATTGTTCTCAGTGTGTCCCATCCTGGGCCAGCGTCTTTTCTTCACCTCTTGATTCACTGAAATTCTTTTAGTTCTCTCCCAAAGCTATATATTAGTGATGCTACCATACTGTTTAATTCCCTCTATTCTTTGCAGACAACCATCTCCTACCAGCTGTTTATTACAATATCTTTTTTGCGTTCACCAGCTGTAAACTCTGGCGGAAAGTTCTGGTTGTTCATCCACTTTTGGACTGCAGTCCTGTTCTAGAACCTGAGTGTTGAGTGTGCATCAGTTTAACAGATCTGACTCATCTGTATGCAGACTGCTGGTTCCTGCCTCTCAGGCAGATGCACTCCGACTTTGAAAGAAGCTCCCAATTCGTCGACTCTTACGGCATGCTTTTGGGTAGGCAGTGGGTCTATTCTTGTTTTCCATAATAATAAGGCCCTGGAACCCACACGGGGAGTGTTACAATATGTCGAGAGGTACATACCGAATGGGATAACTAGAAATCTGATGTAGTTCTGCCAGTCTGGGGATTTGTTGGAGAAATGCTCTACATAGGGTCGCAGCACAGAGTTTATGTATGCATCTCCACCGACCACTCCCACCTTGATTGGAACTGTTGATCGTGCATTGCTGTTACAACTGAACAAATAAAGAAGACGGGAACATGTATTAAACCCCTGTAACATAACATAAACCTTGACCTATCAGGGTCAGGGAGGTGTATCGATAGAAGCACCAACACACAAAACCGGCCATCTTTCTCTGTCAACTGCTTGATGAATAAATGTATGATAACTTAGTCCTGTCCATTTCTGGAAAGCTTTACCCCATAGAAAAGGAAACATACAATTTTTATAGACACACCAGTGGTTCAAAGTCAGTTGCAAGCAATTTAGGAGGAGACTGCCTTGCACTGATGGTTAGGAGCAGATTGATTTTGTAAAAACATGAGAATTATTCCATTCGGAAAGCAATAGTAAACTACAGAAAGCAAAACTAAAACTGAGATGCCAATAAATGCTGGGGTATAAGAAGTGCTGTAAAGGATATGCAACAGATGTAAATTAAATTTACAATAGAAAATAATAACCCCTTCACGCCTCTCCGACAACAAAAAGTTTCTTTAAAACTTATTTTGAATGGCTTATCCTATTTTCAAGCATAAATTCTTAGATTGTAAAGATAAGAATAGGGTATTTCTCGAAAACACAACTATATTTTGTTGTTGTTCATGTGACTGTATAAGACAGCACTGTGAGCTGAGGTAGCACAGTGACTAGATGCTTGGCTGTCTGGTCAAAGGTCTAAGGTTGAAATCCTCATCAAAGATTTTTCTTCTTCAAAACTGACCTCGGTTCCCAGGTTGACACAACTTAAAATGTTGCTCAGGTAATGTCCTGGAAAGTAAAGGTGGCTGGCATGATGCTGACCACATCACCCACCAAGTGCTAATTGGTCTAAAAGAGTGTTTCTGAATCTTTTCTTAGTCGCAGCGCCTTTTTTCAATTACATTTTATCCACAGCGCCCTAACCTAAGTAAAAGTATGACTATTCGCATGTAAAAAAAAAAATTTAATAAAAAAAATTGTGTATCTTCGGATATTTCGTGGCGCCCCTGTTAAGAGGTGGTGGCTCCCCGGGGCACCAAGGTACACAGTTTGGGAATCAATGGTCTAAAACAATATGAGTGTAGCATCAGCTGCCTTCTTATTCTTCTCTTCCACCTTGTACCTCATCAAAGTGTCGGGGGGAGATGCAACATTCGTCGATGAGCTCTGTCAAGAGCACTATTAAGACAGATGTTCATTTCTGAAAGACTGTTCTTAATGCTATCACTCCATATTTTCGGAGGTCTTCCACTAGCTCTATACCCATTGTAATGTTTCAGTGTAGCTCGCTGTGGCAGATAGTACCAGGTCATTCTTGTTAGGTGTCCATCATCTGCCTGATGCACCATTGAAGTAAAAATAATCCTTTACTGACTTTATATGCCAGCATCATCTTTACATAAGAAGCTGTCGTTAATCATCTGACACCTCACATCAGTGCCCAGCAGTGTTTCAAAAGCTGTCATAAAGTCTCAGTCAGTCAAGTGCATCTCCACAATGAAAGGAGAAAATAAAATAGTCCCACTGCCTCCCTAACAAGCAAGTCGAATATAGTGACTAATTAGGGGCGCTTCCTTTCAGTTGGAGGTGAGGAACCAATAGTCTTCACAGGAATAAGCCAGATATGTAAAACAGATGTGCATACAAAACTCAAGTTCTGAAACAAGAGATGCGAGTCAAGAAATGAACCAACAACCAGAACTGTTTGCCAGAGTTTACAGCTAAGGAGAGGAAGGTTGACCAAATTGGATCTCTGACAGTCTGTTTTTCATCATGGTTGTGTACCCTCTGAGACTGCTATTCATCCATTGCTTGATGTTATCTCCCAACTTGTAACACTGTCTACTTGCTCGCTTACCTTTGATCGTTCCCGCCAGTATGAGTCTTATAAGAGTGTTATTCTTTAAACATGGCTGGAATAATTTAATTCATCTCTATTTCTGTCAGCAATTCTCTTTTCAGTCTCTCAGGAAATTCTGTATTTAACTGTTTTGTTTCCACGAGATACAATTTCAGTTTAAACATAATTCTAAACAAGCTTAATTAATAATAACTAGGTTAGTTAATTTTAGCCCTGCAAACTTTCTTACAATTTCTGAATTTTGGTGACCAAGTAGAAAACGGCTGCCTTGACGTCTGCCTCAGTGCAGGTACATATCAACTTCAGCTGCCGATCCTGTACTTTCTGAGCAAGCATCTGGCCTTGCCACTCTGAGGTATTCACCAGAAAGACAGAGTCTGGCAGGTGATCCTCGGTGCTGTCAAACACTGAACTGAGCTGTTCTAGAAGAGCTCTGCGAGGCTGCACAGAAACACAAATATGGGAATAATAAATACAAGGCACCGTTCACCACAATCAGACAAATAACAGTAACAAGTAGGTCCACTTATTAACCCACATTTATAAATTATCACTTTAAAAATGAAATAACACAAACACAATTTATGGTTGCCCCTTAAAAGTCAGTTGGCATGTTGTGCTGTGGTTTACATCAAGGCTGTGATATTTAAATCTATGGGTCAATCCCATCTGATTTCAGGAAACCATTAGTTGCCATTTATGACATGCTTGTTAGGGGTCCCCCCCCCACCCCCCTTCCCCCCAACAAAAAGGAGCTCCGGATACCCACAGAGAGGAACAGTCTAATTATCACAATTGTTGGAAATGGGGGGGGGGGGGGGGGGGGGGGGGGGGGGGGGGGCAACTTAACATAAATTACATTTAACATGTATAATATTCTATTAACTTGTAGAATACAGTAAAGACCCTTTTTCACACCCTGAGGCGTATGGGGGATAGTGCTACACCTATATTTTACAGACTAATCAGCACTTGGTGAGTGATCTGGTCAACAGCTGTCTTTACTTCCTAGGATTTTACCTAGTACCTACCTATGGCTGGGTCTATAATAGTATAATCTGATCTAATTAACAAACAGTCTATGTAATATCAAACAGATAAATATATCAGAGAGAACGTAACCTTGGACTGAGGGTGGTGGGAATGGATAGCTGGTTAAATACAGAGTCAGTGGTGCAAGAGCTGATCAACGAAAATTCTAGCCCAGGTGACATTACAATATGTACGGATGGGTCTGCAGTGAGAGGTAAGAAGAGTGGGTGGGGTTTTATTGCTAAGATGAAAGGACAAAGTCAGAAATGATATTATCAGACGGACTGCAGGAACAATACCCTGCAGCAAATTCATTGAGAAACAGAAGATCAAATGGTTCGGGCATTTTAGTTAGATTGTGGCCAGAACAAGTACCAATTCAGGCGCTACACATGAAAGGAACAGAAGTGAAAGCAAGAGGCCATCCTAGAAGAACACTGATTGATGACATTAAAGAGCTTCTACATCGACATGGAATGACAGTAGCCATTGCTGCCCATCAAGCAATAGATCGCAAGCTGTTCCTCCCCACAATATCACTACAACCAGTATGAGAATGGAGCTGGAGGCAGCAACGACAGCTTTCCGATGGGTGGAGAACAGCACAGTCTAAAATGTTGTAACAGACTCACAGGGCATGCTTTGGAAAACTGAAACTCATGTCCTGCGTGCAGAGTGGCTTTTATCACTTGATAAGACCCAGATCAAGAGCATATCATGGTAACCAGCAGGCTGATAGACTGGCTGCTACCGTTTTTCTGGGCAGTGAGCAACTATGTGATAAAGCAGATGTGGTGAAGGCTTTATTATAGGATCAAAAAGACAGTACAAAAGAACAAATATGGAATCCATACACTGAAACATCAATTCAACGGGGGTTGAGCATAGGTTCTGGAAGATATTCAACATTGAAGGGGGAAACAGAGGCAGACTTTTAATCAGATTACAACCAGTACTATAAGCATGTAAACTCTTTACTGGTTACTGAAGAAGGAGACGGATCACATGTGGGAATGTCCCAAGAGCAGTGATGTCAATTCTTTAGCCACTCATTCATTCAGACAAACATAAATATCCAATATCAGAAAACAAAATAAAAACATTATTTATCCTAATTATTATACAGAAGGGTTAAACAGGAGTTTATTGATTAACTCACTACTATTATTTCATTGCAGATTAGAAAGCTGTAGGTTTTGGATTTGTTTCTTTCAAAAATGACCTTGGATCCCAGGTTGACCCACCAAGTAAATTCCTGGAAAGTAAAGACAGCCGGCATGATGCTGACTATATGGCCCACCAAGCGCTGATAGGCCTATCAAATACAGGTCTAATGCCCAAAATACCTAAAGGCATTTAGGAAAAGGGATCTTTACTTTTAGTAAAACAAAACAAAACAAAAGTATAGATGCCTTTTCACGCCTTTAGGCGCCTCAGGCATATGGGAAGAGAGCCCATATTTTTACAGACCAATTGGTACTAGGTGAGTAATGTGGTCAGCATTAGGCTGGCCATCTTGGCTCCCCAAGACATACATCCTGGTACACATTTTAGGATGGGTCGACCTGCGACGCCCCTATACCATGATAAAAATCCACGCAGCCAGATGTGGTTTTCAATCGCGGTATGTTGGAATTACGAGTTGGACTCGCAACGCCTTCTTCACTTTTTTTTAAATTCACAAAACAAGCAGTTAGGAAACATTTTAACATTATTATTTTTAGCCATAATTGTGTTCAACATTCAAACAGTTTGTCAATTTCCAATGCATCTTTTAAAATGTGGATGCTAATTTTATTTCTTATTGAATCTACACAGCTGCTGCTTCTGAAGGTAATAGCAGTTAATGGCACATTAAGATACTTTAAATGCATATACATGTTTATTACCCATATTTTGTTTGTTTTCTTTCAACAATAAAAATCAATGCAAACTGGCCATATTATAATAATAATGTTAAGTTAGGAAAATACTTATAAAAACCTTAAACAAAACGCAACAAACAAAAACTGTGTTATTATCATCTAATAATCAAACTGTACATCGCTTAACTTCATATCTTAGTTTAAATGTAACTAAAAGAAGAAAAATTTGAATCTTCTTCTTCTTCACTAAATTATAATACACTTCAGAAATATTTTTTCAACAGATATGCTTCGTATGAGTTAATGAAATGTGTCTAGAAGGTATGGTTTTATAAGACATGCGTACATAAGTAGTGTGTTAAAATAAATATTTGTGTGTGTGTGTGTGCGTGCGTGGGTGGGCTTGCGCACGTGTGTAATGGAAGCAAGCAGTTTCACAAAGGAAAAGAATATGGCTGATAACATCCACATTTAAAAAAATCTTAAGTGTCTGCACAATTTCACCCACCTCATGGCCTTTTCTATCACATAAAGATTTAAATGTGAAAAGCAAACAATATCTTACAAGTGTTAGTGATAAAATAATTACAAATTATAGACAAAACAAACTGAAGCATGTTGATTAAGTGAAACAAAAAAAATGATTGAAAAATTCCAATGCCTATATTGGTTGCTAATAAGCCAACACACGTGATCAAAAACTGTTGCTGAAAATATGAATGCTATCATTGAACTGTTGCTGTCCCTTGTATTTAGCATGCAAGGAAAAACAAAGAGATCTCATGAACCAACTAGACTAAAGGGGACAGTTCCCAAGAATATCATGAAAATGTTGCACCATCTGCAGAGTTAACACCAAGAGGCAAGAGGAAGGGAGAGAAACAGAAAAAGAGTGTGGCAGAAAGACAAAAAAAAAAAGGGGGGGGGGGGGGGAGAAACATATAAATAGAGTGACAGAAAGACTGAAAAAAAAAGGGGGGGGGGGAGAAACAGATAAATAGAGTGACAGAAAGACAGAAGAAAAAAAAAAGGGGGCGGGGGTGTAATCTGAAAATGTAATGTTATGTCACAGCAGACCAGTCCCTTGGCATCTGGTGGCAGCTGGTCTAAGAGAAAAGCTCTGAGAGGCAGGTAAGATATCCACACAATGCTTTTCTTATCTGGCAGCTTCTTCAGCATGATTTCTCTAAACATATTGGTGTTACCTATCCTTCAGCGTAAAGAAGATCGGCAAGAAAGGGATGCAACATATGGTCTCTATAATACTGTCCAGGTTTTGTGCTGTGGGTGAGCAGATCTTGCTAGCAGTAATCATCACAAGGGCTGTGATTCCCATGCCTCCCTACGCATACGCTAAATATGGAGGAGAGGCAGGTTTACCGGTTGTTTTTTAATTTGCTGCTTGTTTTTGCTTCTAACAACAGCTGACCATTTTCCTCCTATGTAGAAAGGATATAGCTTTGTCATCCAGCTAATGAGTTAATTGCATGGCGTAGATTTAATTTGGAATGCTTTACAACTGTGCCTAAAGTGGTTTGTGTTGTGAACTATAGATTCAGAAAATGGTGACTGGCCAGTTTCAACAGAACTGGTGGCACCTTCTGTGATCAATCATGTGTGCAACTGCTGATCTGTTGCATCTGCTACTTCCACTGATAATAAACTGCATTTCTAGTGACATGACTGTTTGTGTTGAAACTTTATATGATTGCTTTTCCATTTAATGCATATGTGTGCTATTCTCACTTGCCCTAGCAGTCGCAGAAAAAAAAAGGGGGGGGGGGGGGGAGAGAAACTACCACATTACTACCCCAAGAAACTTTTCATGGAAGCCAATTAAAATTCTATGGTTAAGCACCAGAAAGGAGATCAAAATTAGAATTTTGAGATAATGCATCTTCCCTGTAGTAACATACAAATGCGAGTCGTGGACTATATCCCAGTCCTTAAGAAAGAGAGTAGGGGCTTTTGAGCTGAAATGCTATAGAAAGATTCTCAGAATATCTTATACAAAGAAGAGGTGAAATACTGACGTCTTGAAAGATCTAAACATCAAGAAAGATTGGCTAATAAACAGCATCTTGTCTCAGAAGCTGAAATATTTTGGTCATATCAAGCGCCACGACAGATTAGGAAAAAAATATTAGCAGAAGGCATGGTACCAGGAATAAGGGGCAGGGGCTGACCAACAGGAAGATGGGCACAGGATATAAATGACTCCTTGAGTATGAAAGTGCATGAGGCGGGAGAACTGGCGAGAGACCGAGTTTCTTTCAAGCAGACCGTGATGAAAGCGATGTTCTGCAAAGGACCTGCTACACATTGATGATGATGTATGCTACTTGCTTTGCTGAGACTACAGTCTGAGTCTCCTCCATGTCTCCACAAAGGACAGTGATGAACACTGTGTGGTTGTTTTTTTTTTTTTGTTAGCACAGGAATGGAGCCGCTGCTGAGTCATCTGTTTGCTATAAAGCTGAAACTGCGATAACCTGATAACAGTATTGGGTTCTTTATTAATATCTTACCCCAGATGACACTACAGGACAGTCCAACATTTTAGGAGGTAAGACTGGGTTTCCCCGCTTTTGATGCTTTTAACGACCCCAAACATATATAGAACTGGCCCTAACCCCAACCCATCTACGTCCCATAAGAGAGTGCAGCCTAGGTCCCACGACTGCATGCAGCTTATCCACCACCCCCTGAAATATTAGACTGTCCCGTGAACTGTGAATTTCCCCTGTTTGGGGTAGGATATCAATAAAGCACCACACTATTGTCTGGAAAGCATTAGTAGCCAATGGCACAACACCAGTTGACAAACTAATCGTCTTATGAACCTGAATCTTTCCTGTGGCATCACCTATGACAACATGGGGCAAGTGTCACTGGTGGGTAACCTATGTTTTATTATCGGCCAGATTCAGCATCGCAACAGGAGAATGAAACTCAGGAGTTGCAACCTGGGTGGACCTGCCTCCACAGAGCATTAAGAAGGCAAAGGGGTCCAATTATTCGGTGAAGGGGGACATTTTCTAAGAATCGGAAGCCTCCTGTTGTGCTCGCTCTTCTATATAGTTTTGTTACGCAGGTGTTGGTCATGGACTATGTCACAATCATTAAAGAAGAATCTTTAATTTGAAATGTTACCAAGAAATTTTTAGAATACTAAGGATCGAGAAGCAAAAAATGCTCAGATTTTACAAGATATGAACACTGAAGAAAACTGACTCCATGTCTTTGAAACCGAAACACCCTATACATTTCAAACACCAAAACAGCTGAGAAAGAACAGAAATGGAAAGCAGGGTCCCAGAAGAAAACGCAGGCGCCAACAAGCACAAAGGTAAGTAAAGTAAAAAAGTAAAGATCCCTTTTCACGCCTTTCGGCGCATCGGGCATATGGGCAGAGCGTCCCATATTTTTACAGACCATCAGCACTGTGGGTAATGTGGTCAGCATTACGCCGGCTGTCTTTACTTTCCCAGGACAGCCCATCCTGGTACCGATTTAAGGCTGGGTCGACCTGCGACGTCCCATACCACGACAAAAATCCACGCAGCCTGCAGTGGGTTTCGATCGCGGTATGCTAGCTTACGAGGCGGACTCGCAACGCCTTACATCATATATTGGTGACACCTTAGGAATGAAAATATAGGAAAACTGGTAAAGGATCACGGCACTTATGGCCAAGTTGTGACTGAAGTAACATTCTGTAAGGGACCTGCTAAATAAGGATACCAGACTTCAGCCCAATCACACAACCTAAGCTCCTGAACTTATCAGAAAGAGAAAAGAAGCTAGATAATACCTGTAATTTTTACGCCCCCCCCCCCCCCCCCCACATTAAGCTATTTGGAAAGCTGTGGGTGCAGTGGCTAGATGTTCACCTGCTGGCCCAGTTGTCATGGGTTTCAACAACCATCAAGACATTTTTTTCCCCCAACTGACTATGTCGACATAGCCTAAAATCAGAAGCAATTAATTTTCTGGGAAGTAAAGGTCTGATACTGACCACACCTACAACCGAGTACCCAGTAGTCTACACAAATGAGCCTAGAATCATGTGCCCCTTGTGTCCAATTCCTCATAAAAGTCGCTGTTTATGAGATGCATTGTTAATGCAACCGGCTGTGTTCAGGCCTGCACAGCATTTAGGAAGTCAGGATATGAATATATTTATTAAAAGTAACATTTAGGGGGGGGGGGGGGGGGGGTGGTTCCCTTGTAAACAAAATAGCTCCTTTTTAAAGCCATGTTGAGTCAAACTTTCCCATAGCCTCTGTGATAGAGGTCACAGGGTCATGTCATGAGTAATCTAATATACATATTCATATTGTTTTAGGCTATGGGAAATGTATTCCATTTATTGTTTCTTTCTGTTTGTGTTTACTGATTACTCCCTTAATATATCTTTATATATCATGGATCAGAGAAACAAAATTTGTTATGTACAGAAACACATTTTACAAATTTATTAGGTACCTGTATAAATTTTTTTTTGGAAGGATTTGTTTGGGTGAATTTCCATCAGTTAATGACCAATTTCTGTAAGTGTTACCTAGGCAACAGGGTTAAAGGTAAGGGGATCAGCTTCATTGCACCAGAAAATCGCCTTATCCACAGCCTTGGCGTTCTTAGTCCAAGAGGTATCAATATCCAACATACCTTCATCTAAATAGTTCTAATCTTATCACATTTTAAATGTTAATTTTTTTATTTTATTTCATATTATTACCTTATTCTATTTCTTATCAGTATCATTTATGTATCATTACCACTTGCATTTCTTTTATTCCCAGTATTGTGACTATATTTTTTAGCCATCGTTTATTTTATTTTATTTCATTTTTTCCGCATCACATTTTTTTAAAGCGCTCACGTCACCCCTTAGAGATCTACATACTCTCCATTCCTCGTTTGTGTCTTTCACTTGTGTTTGAAAAAGGCTGCCCAGCCGAAACGTTACGTTTTGTTGTTTTGTGCACGTTTTCCTCTTTCCCATTTTGTTGAGCTTTTTAGTCAAATTTCTCTGGAATTCATTGTATTAGCTTGACTGCAGTCACCCCCATAGTTTAACCTTCATTGCACCAGGTTTTATGCCATAAGGCTTTCTTTCTTTCCCAGCGGAGTGGCTATTTACCTGCTCAGAGTGCTGCACACTGCATGAAACTGTAGCTACAACAACAGACATTAAACACCTGTAAACCAAAGAATTGGGGATGAAATAAGACAAGAAAAGCGTCCTTCACTTAACCAAGTGAGTGAGATAGTATGGTCGCTTTTCTTTCCCACGACTTTGATACCTTATTTAGGAGGGTAGATTAAACTAAGAGATTGTTGGAAATGTTTCATACCTGTCACTACTGAGAATTAAACATGGAGTCACTGTGTTGAATGGGAGCATACAATGAGGCTGGCTAAGATGACATATATAGTCAGACTTATAAAAACTTGACCAATTTTACAGTGATGGCCAATCATAGAAACATGGAGTTTGTTGATATCTGCAACAATGAATCTCAAGGAATGGTAAAGAAGAGCAGAAGGGCGGGGAAGGACAGGGAGTAGGAGACTGGAGGAGGAGGAGAAGGAAGAGAAGAAGAAGATCAGTGTTGGTAGATGAGACACACAAAAAGACTTTAAAAACATAGATGAAAAACAGTGAAAACCAAACTCATGTAGGTCACAGTTTGCTGATGAAGACAAAGCATAGTAAAAAAATAAAAAAAAATAATTAAAAATTATTTAATATTCAAGATCATTTCTGTAAATGTATTTAATGTGCAGGACATGAATCCAGTAGAAGTTAATAATGAAAAAAATGCTACTTGGAAGAAAGGCCTAGGAAACTCTAAATCTCAAATGAGATAGATAATATAACTAAAAAGTTGGAGCAACAATACATTTTAAAAGCAGTCTTGAAACTACTCCATATTATAAGTATTTGATAATGTCAACACATAAAGCTCAAATTGTAACAGTGTTATTTAAACAAATTATATGTACACACATATACAAAATAAAATGCTGTTGACTAATAAAGCAACACAAATACTAGCTACATGCCAAACTGATGTTAAGCAGATAAACAAAACACACAAAAAAATATATAAATTATCAAACTGCTAGCATATGCAAGAAGAAGTCTGTTAATGACGAAGGCAGTCAAAATTAGTTTTTTGAAAAAACGTTTGAAAAAAAATGAACCAAACATCATAACTGACCAAACAACGATCCTCTCCTAAACTACTCCTGCGTGGATGAATCCATTCCATACTGTTGGTCTTTTCCTTAAAAGAAATGCTTCGAACTTTGTCTCTGTAAAATTCCTTGCTTTTGCGTCGCAGGGCACGGGGTTTGGGCAATGAGTCCCTTGTTCTTGCATTATATGAATCGAAAGGATCACACTCGAAGTCTGAATTGCGCCACTTCTGAACCCATTGCAAGAGGGAAAGAAGAAGCACACAGGCAATGGATTAACACAATGCATGTGGGAGATGGTGAGGAAAGGAGTACAGTTCAGTGAGAGGATTAGAAAGAAAGAAAATTCTATATCCAATTACTTGTACCATCTGCTTTTCAGGGATGAAAATTATGTCTCGAACAACACTCGGGAAAGGTTGCTAAATTAGTACTGGGCAGGTATCAAAAATATTTACAAAGCTGCAGACATTCTAGGTTTTTTTTTTTTTAGTTTTTGACATGACCTTCATAAATCAGAACTTTGAAATGGGCACATGCATAAATAAAAACACAACTTCACTCAAATCTGTTATTATAGTGTCATTAACCCTCTACCGTGCATTTCATGAAAACAAACAGAAAAAATACTGAGGCTTTGGGAGATGGTTTAAAAAAAAAAAACAAGAGCTGAAAGAATTGAATATGAGACAAGTGAATTTGTTGCGGCATTAAGATAATACCTCCAATATAAATTAAATTTTCTATTAAAGAAACGATTCTCTTGGCTATTTTTAAAGATTGCTTTCTCTTTCCTTTTAAACCTATTGTTAATTCTTATAATTTTTCAAGACTTTATTTTACCATTAATACACTGCTTCTTGCAATTTTGTCTAAAATTTTAATTTATTATTCATAATGAACTTCTTGTAATGAATATTATACTGTCCTACTCATAATATGTTACTTTATGTGATTGTTCAAAGACATATTTTCCTATAAAGTTGTTTACAGAAATGGTTTTTTAGATTAAACAATTTTCATGGTTTTAGTTATCTCATGTTTAAGTCCTCATAAAATCATAAAAACTAAGACATTTATAAAATTATACAAAGGTTTCCCAGAAGCTCAAGCCCCTGCATAAAGCAAAATTATAATGTGTTTTGACAGAAAATGCTTAACTGTTTTGGAACATGAAAGCACTTAGATACGAAAAGGAAATAGAGAATGGATAAGACAAAAGCATAGCATAAGAATCATGCAAATGACTTTGCTGAATGTGAACTGTCTGGTAAATTCAGTACTTAAATAAAGTAAGAGCTAAATTATTAATCTGAGAACAGACAAAACATAAACAGATAGAAAGATAGAATTTGCTTTCAAATAATTCAGAATTAAATGCTGCTATTCCCTCTCACATGCTTACTTTTTAGACAAGTTATTCTATAAGTTGTTATGTGTCTAATTATTATAACTCATTTGATATGAAGTAATGAATGATATGTACAACCTTAACCTTTACTTTGTTCCCCCACACAGCTGTTAAAGGTTTTTTTTTTTGGGGGGGGGGGGGGGGGGGGGGGGGAGCCAGAATGGCATAGCAGTTAGTAATGCTCACCTGCCAAGACAAGAAGTGGCAGGATTGTCCACCTCACCAGTACAGCTCAGTCAGAGGGCGTTCAAGCCTCATGGAAGTGGGTACCAGGTACTGTCCGAAGCATTCTGGGATTTATCTAGGAAAGACGAGCAGGAGGGGAACTCACCACCCACCCTCATGGGTCGTGGATCAGACTGTGTGATGACCTAACTCTTCACATCCTCAAGGGTCCTGGCCCTGACTGTGTAATGACCTAACTCTTCACATCCTCAAGGGTCCTGGCCCTGACTGTGTAATGGCCTAACTCTTCACACCCTCATGGGTCGTGGATCAGACTGTGTAATGGCCTAACACTTCACATCCTCAAGGGTCGTGGATCAGACTGTGTAATGACCTAACTCTTCACATCCTCAAGGGTCCTGGCCCTGACTGTGTAATGGCCTAACTCTTCACATCCTCAAGGGTCCTGGCCCTGACTGTGTAATGGCCTAACTCTTCACACCCTCATGGGTCGTGGATCAGACTGTGTAATGGCCTAACACTTCACATCCTCAAGGGTCGTGGATCAGACTGTGTAATGACCTAACTCTTCACATCCTCAAGGGTCCTGGCCCTGACTGTGTAATGGCCTAACTCTTCACATCCCAGTGGCAGTATCTGCTGTGGGACTATCTTTGCCGCTAATCCTTTGTTCATGACTTTAATGTCTCAATCTCTGTAACCGTTAGTTCAGCTCTGCTTCATATGCTACACTAGCTCTGCTTAACATCCTACATTAGCTCTGCCTCACATTCTACACTAGTTCTGCCTCACACTCTACACTAATTCTGCCTCACATGCCACAGTAGCTCTGCTTCAAATGCTACACTAGCTCCGCTTCACATGCTAAACTAGCTCTGCTTCATATGCTAAACTAGCTCCACTTCACATGCTAAACTAGCTCTGCTTCATATGCTAAACTAGCTCCACTTCACATGCTAAACTAGCTCTGTTTCCCTTGCTACAGTAGCTCTGTCTCACATTCTACAGTAGTTCTGCTTCATATGATACAGGAGCTCTGCTTCAAAGTCTAGAGTAGCTCTGCCTCACATTCTACAGCAGCTCTGCTTCATATGATACACTATCTCTGCTTCACATGCTACACTAGCTCTGTTTCACTTGCTACAGTAGCTCTGCCTCACATTCTACAGCAGCTCTGCTTCATATGATACACTAGCTCTGTTTCACTTGCTACAGTAGCTCTGCTTCACATGCTAGAGTAGGTCTGCCTCAAATTCTACAGTAGCTCTGCGTCACATGCTACAGTAGCTCTGCTTCATATGCTACGGTAGCTCTGCTTCATATGCTACAGTCTTACATGCTGCACTAGCTCTGCTTCGTATGCTACATTAACTGCTCTGCTTCACATGGTACACTAGCTCTGCTTTACATGGTACACTAGCTCTGTCTCACAAGCTGTACTAACTCTGATTAATATGCTGCACTAGCTCTGCTTCATTTGCTACAGTAGCTCTGCTTCATTTGCTACAGTAGCTCTGCTTCATATGCTACAGTAGCTCTGCTTCATATGCTACAGTAGCTCTGCTTCATATGCTTCAGTAGCTCTGCTTCATATGCTACAGTAGCTCTGCTTCGTATGCTTCAGTAGCTCTGCTTCATATGCTTCAGTAGCTCTGCTTCATATGCTACAGTAGCTCTGCTTCATATGCTTCAGTAGCTCTGCTTCATATGCTTCAGTAACTCTGCTTCATATGCTACAGTAGCTCTGCTTCATATGCTTCAGTAGCTCTGCTTCATATGCTTCAGTAGCTCTGCTTCATATGCTACAGTAGCTCTGCTTCGTATGCTTCAGTAGCTCTGCTTCATATGCTACAGTAGCTCTGCTTCATATGCTACAGTAGCTCTGCTTCGTATGCTTCAGTAGCTCTGCTTCATATGCTACAGTAGCTTTGCTTCGTATGCTACAGAAGCTCTGCCTCACATGCACTAGCTCTGCCTCACATACACTAGCTCTGCCTCCCATACACTAGCTCTGCTTCATATGCTACACTCTCTGCTTCATATGCTACACTCTCTGCTTCATATGCTACACTCTCTGCTTCATATGCTACACTCTCTGCTTCATATGCTACACTAGCTCTGCTTTATGTGCTAGTGGCTCTGCTTCATATGCTACAGCAGCTCTGCTTCATACGCTACATTAACTGCTCTGCTTCACATGCTTCACTAGCCCTGCTTCATATGCTATATTAGCTGTGCTTCATATGCTTTATTAGCTCCTATATGTCAAGGCAGGCCCAATTTTAAAGTCAAGGGTGTCAATCACTGTAAGAGTTAACTCTTTCACTGCCAAGCAGTTATTATTTTAACTCCTACTCTAAGAACTGTGTTTAAAATCAGTAAATGCTTGTGCAAGTTCCGGGCCCCACTGTTGGTAAACCAAGAACAAATCCCACTGCTCCCCCCCCCCCCCCCCCCCCTCAAAACAAGCATGTTGTAGGAGTTGACTTACTGGGGGGCAACATTCAAAGTCAGAGAACATCTGCATGATGTGACGTGCGGAACTTAACGTTCCGTAGGCTTCATTGATTTGACGAGTGTAAAAGTGACTAGGGGTGTCGCAATGTAACAAATGGCATCAACACTTAACATGCCACTGGCCAAGAGTAACACAACATGATGAATGCTGAAGCTTCCAACGTAGCAGAACGAGAACTCTCTTTAAAAGTTCCATTTGTGTATTGACAATATCGATAATCGACACAATGAGAAAATATGTAAGCAACAACTCACACTCGCTCAACCAAAGCAGCTCGCTCGTACATCCATGTATTGATATGTCCTCACGATAGGTCGCAGTCCGACCTTGAGATCCAGGCGATTATCTTCGTCCTCAGACAAGTCCGAATTAAGCAATGAAAGTATACCGGCTTACTGCCGAGAATGTAGTGTTCACCAGCTTCCTGCTGAGGTCTATCTTGGAATCCCGGGGTAAAACGTCCTCAAGGATCCAACTTCATATAACGTTTGCTTCCGTGGAATCCCGGGGTAAAGCGTCCTCAAGGATCCACACGTCCGTCTCCTTCGGACTATAAACATCAACTGCCTTTGACAACAATCCTTCACAACGTTACGTATTGTTTTGACGTCTTATTTGCTCACTCCGTACTGGTGCGTTCTGGTGCACATTCGCACGCGACACCCCCCCCCCCCCCCTCAAAACAAGCATGTTGTAGGAGTTGACTTACTGGGGGGCAACATTCAAAGTCAGAGAACATCTGCATGAGAGGGAAAGAACCAAGAGTCTGCATACAAAAAAGTCCAGATCTTTAAAAAGATTTGCACACAAAACTCAGATTTTGGAACAAGACTAAACTCTGGAGGCTGAAAAATGCCAGAATTTTCTGCCACAGCTTACAGAGGGTGAACGCGAAGAATAAAAAACACACTAAATGCTGAGATCTGACGGGGCTAAACAGAGGCATAATGGGGCAGCAGTACTTAAACAAATTATTTGGATACAAAAGGGCAGAAGGCAGAAAGAACAAACTTATTATCTTGTAAATGATAAGGAACGTATGGTGCATTTCTTTATACTTACAGAGTATAAAAAGCCTTTTTATTTGTCTTTGGGTTAAACATTATATAATGAAT